ACCACTGGCTGGTAAAGTAAGGTGACCAGACCTGCCATTTTCCTGTGACATGTCCTGGCAGATTTCTAAATTGCCAAAAATAACCAGGTTTTGGCTGTATGCGCTGCACAGATCGATCGTTGTTTGACATTAAAGTGATTTGAAAGCATAAGGAACCATCTGCTCTGCTCTCCATAGCTCTCACGGTATTTAAATGTCATATAACGATTGATCTGCACAGTCTGCAAACAGCCAACACCTGGTTATTTTAGGCAATTTAGAAATCTGCCAGGAAGTGTCCCTGGAAAATGGCACATCTGGTCACCTGGTATAGGCCATATCTGGCCCGCACACAACAAGCCAGAACTCAACCTAAAACCGGTTTGTCACACATGGGCCACATCTGGCCCACAAACAACAAGCCAGAACTCAACTTAAAACCGGTTTGTCACACATGGGCCAGATCTGGCCCACACACAACAAGCCAGAACTCAACCTAAAACCGGTTTGTCACACATGGGCCAGATCTGGCCTACATACAACAAGCCAGAACTCAACCTAAAACAGGTTTGTCACACATGGGCCACATCTGGCCCACAAACAACAAGCCAGAACTCAACTTAAAACCGGTTTGTCACACATGGGCCAGATCTGGCCCATGTGTGACAAACCAGTTTTAAGTTGAGTTCTGGCTTGTTGTTTGTGGGCCAGATGTGGCCCATGTGTGACAAACCAGTTTTAAGTTGAGTTCTGGCTTGTTGGGTGTGGGCCAGATCTGGCCCACAAACAACAAGCCACAACTGACACTAAATCCGGCTTGATGTGTGTTGGCCAAATCTGGCCCAAATGACCTCTGCCATTGCCAGAACTCAGCCATATGTGCCATATTTGGCCCAGATGAGGCCCGGAAGTGTATGCTATCAGGGATATCTCGTCCGTGAACGAGTTGAATGAACTGGTACATATCTCGTTTGTGAACGAAATGAATGAGTGTACCTGGTCAGTCGGCCATGTAGCATGTCAATCTCGATCAGCAATCAGCAGAAAGCGGATGCAAAGCGCAGTTATAGGTACTGTGCAAATAACCTTGTTTATATATTCATATTTAGCATACAGAACATAACGTTTAATCCCTGATTTATGAATGTGTAAATGTCTGACCAAACAATAAAAATGTTAATTATGCAAGAAAACCTTGTGCTTTGGTCATCTGAACACCTTATTTAGACTGTATCTGAATATTAGCAAGAGCACTCACGGTGTCCAAACTCCTCATACCGTGCGGGTCAATCACAAATGGTCCGGCGCTGTAAATTAAACTGACTGAAAGCCCACGAGGCTATAAATAAAAATATAAATAAACTCTGTTTCTGTTTATTTGAATTGTGTTCCGTTACTCCAGAAGCAGAAGCGGAGGCGAGTGAGAGTTTGAGCAGCTCTGGCGCCTCCTGCTGGACACTCACCGCATTTATAACTTTAACTTCTCATTTACACTTTATTTCAGCTACACTGTATTTACACGAAACACAGAAACTAGTGAAACACGGTAAAAAAATCTGAATAGTTTCATCATGTACGAATAAATTCTTTGTTATACACAGTCCAAGAAAAAGAGATAATGTGACAGATTTCATAAAGTCATGTATTTATTATTGTTTTTACATTGCAAATCATTTCAGAGCAGCTTTACAGTGATCAGTGGTATCAACTGTCAGAAATTATGTTTTAATGACTTTAGCTATTAACGTAGAGCTCTACATAGAGACCTAATGCGTTTTGCGTTACCATTTTCAACACAAGTTAGTAACTCAATATGTTTCATATCTATCTGAAATAATACAAAGTTGGGTTTTCCTTTAGCCCAGTTCTGTTTTTGTATATGGTATTTTCTCCAAAAAGATTAGGCTAACACACAAAAAAAGCCACATTTTGATGTAATCTTTGTCTATTAAAATGAAAAAGAAAAAAAAAGTAGGCCAATATCTTTTTCAGAAAATTTAACTTTCGTGCATTTACAGAGGGGCCTTCTAAACTGATCCAAAACATTCTGATAGCAATGCAGTTAGAAAATAAAGTCCTACAGAAATCACATCAGTACAAAATCTTTCAACAGGGTACTCCAGATGAATCTCATATCATATTTGTGTGATATTTTTTAGGCAGCAAATGCATATTTCCACTGAAATTTAGATTGCTATAGATATTGGTCTGTATTCTGTGTTAGCAACTTTCCCATCTCATATTGACCATAAACTCTTGTGTTACCAAATTACTGACACATCTGTACTGCATACTAAAGAGCTCCATTATCAGCCCAACAGTGAAAAATGAAACCATATCCATACCATCTGGGCACAATCTGCACAGAAAAGAAAGTTTAACCCTCTGGTGTGATTTATTTATTTTTTTATTTCAATTAAATGAATGTACAATATTTTCATAATGTTTTTTTATTTAATATTTTGTATTTGTAGGGGATTTTATGGTACTAAATGTAATTTATGGAACAGTTATGATCCATTTATTACCTGTTAAGCACCTTTTGAGCATAGACCTAAAAGTTTCCAACTTTAACTGTGCTAAACCGCATTGGAACATAGATTTCAGTTTAAATTTGCTCTCTTTTTAAAGCAGACACTTGGCAGATTATTCATAGTGAAAAAACTATTAAAAAAAACAAACAAAAAAAAGTTATAGAAGTTTATTAATATGATACATGCACAAAAAGACTATTTTAAAAATGTACAGGCCTATGAAATAATTTATTTTCCAAAACATGTTTTACTCTTAAACTGCATGAAAATAAAAGTCAGGAATCTAAACAATTTGTTCTAAGTTTGAGGTTGATATAGCAAAAATATGAGATTTAGTTTGGGCCAAACGTACCAAACGTTTATTCCACTAGATGAAATCCGCTTCCCAAGTGTTTCCAGTGCAGTTATTTTTGACTGTGACCAGTACAAGTGTGACTGTTTTTTGAATCATGTCCATGTGTGTGTTCACATAGCAAGTGCCAAAACCGTACCATTCCAATTAAGTAAAAAATAATAAACATTAAGTGTTTAGGTCAAAAATGTGCAGTTATTTTTGACTGTGACCAGTACAAGTGTGACTGTTTTTTTCAAGATCACTTGACCTTTTTGAATCATGTCCATGTGTGTGTTCACATAGCAAGTGCCAAAACCGTACCATTCCAATTAAGTAAAAAATAATAAACATTAAGTGTTTAGGTCAAAAATGACCAAACAACAGCAGAGATTAAGCAAAGAGAATGGTTTGGTCGGACGGTTGAAAAGTGGCTTTAGAGAGCAAAAGAATCAAACCAGACTCCTCTTTCAGTGCTGATCTGAACACAACAGGAGTCGTCACGTGTTGAGCTGGAGCTGACACCGTTTTACTGCTCTTTATATGCAGAAACAACATTAAATACATGAGCAGCAGCTTCATTTAGGGAATGATGATGTGATGGAACTGCTGATTTGGTGTCTGGAGGAGTGAATGAGGAGCATCAGATCTGACCTTCATCAGTGTCGCATCAGATTCAGGATCTCTGAGAGAAACACATTCACTTACAGCAGATGCAGATTCACAATTCAATCGGTTTCATTAATGTTTGTGTGATTCAGTCTCAGTTTTTCTATTGATTTGATTCACTCACCTGTTGCCTGAATCATCCTCACTCTGACAGACAGGTGGCAATGCCTTTGAAAAACAGCTGAAAACAGACCAAAACCTATTATTAAATACTGTTAAATTCATTACAGTATTTTATATTTTACACATTTATTATAATATTTATTCATTTGACTCATGGTAACAATCCTAATTTACTTTTCATAACTATTCTGCCATCATCATTTCAAAATTCTCTGACACAATTAAACACTCATGGCTTACCTGAAGACCCTTGTACACAGCAAGAAACAAAGAAATGCCAGAAGAAAAATTACAATGAGTAGAGCAGAAATCCACCACAGCTATTTTATTTTGTCATGAATTCTTTTATATTTTTATAATTTTGTATTAAGTTGTTAAAAATGTTATTTTTCTTAATAAAAGCTTTATATTTAATTTGGTTGGATGGATGGATGGAGTCTGTTCTTGGGCGATGGTTAGACGTCAATAAAATTTTCACTGACATCCCAAATTCAGCCTTGTTTTAGCCTAGACAGCCAGGCTGTTTGGACAGCTAATAGATGTCTTTTAAACGCAAAATTGCTTGCTGAGAGTGGTTTACCAAACACGGCTTCTTATGTTAAGGGAATTACATATTTCTTTCTCATGGCCACGAGTTTAATGCATGAACAAACGTGATCATAGCAACCTGAGATTATCGGAAATGGATAAGATAATATTTTATTTTGAATTAAGAATGATAAAAGAATTGGAATTTAGAAATGATTATATTAACCATAGGTATAGTCTACAGACCGTGCGTACGATAATCCCATGTTGCTACAGTGCATCTGGAAAGTATTCACAGCGCTTCACTTTTTCCACATTTTGTTATGTTACAGCCTTATTCCAAAATAGATTAAATGAATAAGTTTCCTCAAAATTCTACAAACAATACCCCATAATGACAACGTGAAAGTAGTTTGTTTGAAATCTTCGCAAATTTATAAAAAAAAAAAAAAATTGCATGTCCATAAGTATTCACAGCCTTTGCTCAATACTTTGTTGAAGCACTTTTGGCACCAGTTACAGCCTTGGGGTTTTTTGAGTATGATGCTACAAGCTCGTCACACCTATTTTTGGGCAGTTTCTCCCATTCTTCTTTGCGGGACCTCTCAAGCTCCATTAGGTTGGATGGGGAGCGTCGGTGCACAGCCATTTTCAGATCTCTCCAGAGATGTTCAATCGGGTTCAAGTCTGGGCTCTGGTTGGGCCACTCAAGGACATTTACAGAGTTGTCCCATAGCCACTCCTTTGTTATCTTGGCTGTGTGCTTAGGGTCGTTGTCCTGTTGGAAGCGCTCTGGAGCAGGTTTTCATCAAAGATGTCTCTGTACATTGCTGCATTCATCTTTCCCACACTCCTGATTAGTCTCCCAGTTCCTGCCGCTGAAAAACATCCTCACAGCATGATGCTGCCACCACCATGCTTCACTGTAGGGATGGGATTGGCCAGGCCTGATTGGTGGAGTGCTGCAGAGATGGTTGTTCTTCTGGAAGGTCCTCCTCTTTCCACAGAGAAATGCTGGAGCTCTGTCAGAGTGACCATCGGGTTCTTGGTCACCTCCCTGACTAAGACCCTTCTCCCCCGATCGCTCAGTTTGGTAGGGCGGCCCGCTCTAGGAAGGGTCCTGGTGCCTCATTTACGAAACGAACGTACCACAGAAAATTGGGCGTACGGTCATTTCAAAGCAAAACTCGGAATTTATCAATATGGACGTGAGCGGTGGCTACGATCAAATCTCATGTCTGGTCTCAAGTTTTTTTTAGCCTGACCTTGCGCGCAGCATATAAATCTGGTGGAGAAATGTAGAATGACAGCATTTTGTTCATTTAAGTTATTTCCCCAACCGACAACCAAAGCTTATTAGTCGATCACTGACCAGTAAGATTAGAATGTCTTTTGCTTTTTTGTTTTATTCAGGGCTTTAGATTAAAGGAGTCATATGATGTTGTTAAAAAATAACATTATTTTGTGTATTTGGTGTAATGAAATGTTTATGCGGTAAGGTTAAAAAAAAACATTATTTTCTACATACTGTACATTATTGTTTCTCCTCTATGCCCCGCCTTTCTGAAACGCTTCGATTTTTACAAAGCTCGTCGGTCTGAAAAGCAAGGTGTGCTCTGATTGGCCAGCTATCCAGTGCGTTATGATTGGCCGAATACCTCAAGCGTGTGAAGGAAATGTTACGCCCCTCATCATACTGTGATGCTGTGTCCCGGCCGGAGTGATGAGACAAAAACATTAAAACCCATTATAAACGAGGCATTTGTTGCATCCAGTGGGGATGTAATAAAGGATTATAATGACTTATACTGTTGCGTTGCATCGCACCGCGTAAACATAAAACCATGTCTGCATTTGTGATTGGAGAAATGACAAACAACAAGCACTACTCTACACTGCTCAAAACTCGCGCGTGAATCATCAGTGGCAAATCCTTTAAAAATGAAAACATACTTGCAGACTGTGAGTCAGAACAGTCGGCATTGTAGTCTACTCTACAAGGATCAGGAAACAGTCCTCCATAAAATGTGCTGCACACAAATTAATATTTGGGTTGAACTGTTCTGGAACAGTGTTGTAAATACAACTTAACCACTGATTTCTAGTCGTGTCCTCTCTTGGAAGACCAAACAAAGTAGTTTCGCTTTCACAACGGAACAGCGTCACACACGGCAGGCTACTGAGTGAGCGGCAGCGGGAGGGCTTGAGAACAGCGCGGCCGGCGGATTCGACGAAGGAGCGTCCGAAGGGCTTGTGGCAACCACATGTGACGACCCCGGGCTGGACTCCACTTCGTCCACGGTGAAAGCCGATCCGGCGATCCACAGCGTGAAGTTGATGTATTTCTTCAGTGACCAGCACGGATCAGCTCTAGGCATGACTAAGCAGATATCGTCCTCTTTTGGAAGGCCAAACAAAGTAGTTTCACTTTCACAATGAAACACACAGCGTCTTCACGACATGGCGGCAGCAACAATACTACAGCAAGAATAGAAGTTATGCCTTCTTTCTTTGCGTGAACATTTGGGCGGCGTTATACAAATCTTCCCACATTGTGACGTAGACATGTGGAGCGTGTTAGAACAAGCCGTTTTAGGTAGGCGTGGTTGACTCTTAACTTTTATAAAGAATATCTCTTTGGATTTGAGACTTTAGTCTTTGCAACTTTACAGATCTTCTTTATGCACCAAGAGCTTGTAACACTCCAAGGAGAAAGGAAAAATTGAAATCGCATCATATGACCCCTTTAATATGGGCGAATAGCATAAACAACAGACCATGAGGATTCACACATCGTCGCATCACGCACCTGCAGTGCTTCTGTGAACGGATAAAAACATAAATTAAGTCTATAAAAGGAATAAAATAAATAGGACCACACAAAATATATAAGCTATAATATAATTAACAGATTAACAAAAGGGGAAAAAACTGTGCAACAAGTATAGGCTATGCTAGTTTTTGTGTCACTCTTAATGCATTTTATTTATATCTTTGATTAAATCCATTCAACTAACAACATTAGTTCAAGCGTTGCCTGACATTTCAGCCATTCTTCATCAAACAAAAATACAGTCAACCAAACATAAAAGTTGCACTGTTTATTTTAAAAGGTCCACTGTAAAATCAGCATGCAGCACCCAAACTAACGTTTTCGCGCATGGGAAAGATTTTACATGGATATTAGAACATAAGTGAAGTATAAAGCCTTGTTTAGGCTAAATAATGAATAACAGTTTAGCAACCAAATGTTACAAATATGGCAAAAATGGAAACATTTGGATTCTTGTGGAATGAGTCTCGTGAGCCCAATGCCATTTTAGTTTTGCTTGTATGAGGTGTATAATGACTGCCACTATAGCCTAATTTGTGTTTTATTTTATATATAATATTGTATTATTGTATATTTATTTTTTATATAATTTTACAACTAATTTTTTATTCTTGTTCTGTTCTGAATACCGTTAAATTTAAAAATATTTGTTGTAGAGTGCATTATAGGCTATAATGTTTATGTTTAACAGTATTTTAATATACATATAAATTACATACATTAATGTAGCCTAATTGTTTGCAATTACAAAGTTAGCGGGTGTAAGATATTCTCTTTGATGAAATTACTTACTCTCTTGGGCCGAGTTTCATTTCTCCGTGTCGTAAACTCAAGGGCGAGGCTTCTAAACCCGGGTGTTTTTAGGGGTGTGATATTCAAATGACGATTGTTTTCTGCCACCACATTTATCAACGTGCAATCATTCGTACGATGAGATTGGCAGCATACAAATGTTTCATGAATCACACGTGAACTCTGTCATAAGTTGATTTGTGCGCCCGGATCTGCGCTCGTTTCTATGTTAGATTGATAAATGAGGCCCCTGGTGGTTCCAAACGTCTTCCATTCCTCTTCTTCCTCGATACAATCCTGTCTCAGAGGTCTACATATGATTCCTTGGACTTCATGGCTTGGTTGCACCCCTCAGGAACCTGACGATCAAGGTCATGCTTACCCAGGGACCAGCCGTCTACTTTGTCGTGATGTGCTGCAATAGCAGCAACATACACTTTCAAGGTGGAGGGTGGCAGCCTACGGTCCAACCTTTCTTGCAGAAAAGAAGCTGGTCGCCATTGGACCAGCAGCGGAACAGAAAATCAAAGATTCTCCACCCGGCCCTCCTCCGGGGGAAGGAGGGGCGCTGCCAACACCACCTCCTAAAGAGCAGTCCCCACATCCCTGGGTTGTCCGTGTCAGGGCCGCTTCATCACCCTCCTAGAGGACACGGACGAAACGGCATCTTTAAAAACACACGAATCGTCTGCAATTTGCTCTTTTAGATAAAGCGCCCAGGGGAATCGCTGAAGGGAAACCACTGTTTGCACTAATACCACCTCAAACAGCTTCAGCAGAGATGAAAGCCTCGGAGTGTTTTCAACTCATAACACTCCGCTTGAAAGAATGGGTTAAATGTTAACTACTTTCGGTTCCATATAACTATAAACTATGATAAAAGTTAATCAGCATGCATCGATTAATCCCATGTTGAAGCGCAAAAAAAAAAAAAAAAAAGTATTGCGACCAAAAAACTTTCTTCTGATCCCAACGTTAGGAAAGAGTGAATGAATGAAATTAAGTTCCAGACCGCATCAGTAAGAACTCTGTCTTTTGTTCACGTCATTTTACCACGGATTCATTTACAAACAAAACGCAATTTGACGCGGGATTTTCAAAAAGATTGAAACTAAAAGACTGTTTATGCTGCGCCGACTATTGGATCCGACAATCATGTTGCATCACAAAAGTGTGAGTAACTTTTTATTACGTGGTAACTATTTATTTGTATCTTATTACAGATTGTTTGATAAGTATTGAGTTATGCGTTTTTAACCTAAAATCACAGGATGTAGACTGTCAAACATACACAAACCAATCAAAGCAGTGGGTGTTTACTTTCAAGTCTACAATCCGCCACGCCTATTCAAACAGAGAACGTTCCGATGAGGGGGGTCAAATTCTGAATAGAAAACAGCCTATTACTTCGAAATGATGATGTTTTTTGATTTAAAAATCTTGATAACATTATAAGTGGACCTCAGAGAACAGTACAAAATAATAAAAACAGAGGCAGTTCTTGACCCCTTTAAACAGTCATTTTAATCCATCAAATCTGCTTGACAACTGCTGTGCACAATTATGATCAATCTTAATCAATCTTAATGTCATAAAGAGGATGCGTGTTATAATCACTAGTTTGGTCATGAAACTCTAGATGGTGCAGGTTTGACATGTAATCTGTAAGCAATCACATCGTTTCATACACGGCACAAGCTGATTGGCCTCTAAGCTATGCAAAAATATCAAATTGTTGATAGACTTTTCACACTGAATGTCCAACAAATACGCTTTGGACAGAAGGAAAAGCAAAGGCATGCCTGCCTGCTAAATGTTTCAGATGGCAAAATTGTGACTTTCAATGGACTGTTTTACACAAACATTTTTACTAATCATGGCTTACTCATGTAGTTCAAAGTGTTTATGAAATTCTAATGTTTGATTTAATGTAATGCCAATCTTTAATGCTGGTTTCACTTGTGCCACCAAACACTCTTAAATGTGTATCTGCAGCAGCTCTGGACTTGAGAAACAGTTTATATCTTACTGGTTAGTTCAATTCTTTGAAGGGCAAAGAAAAGAGTTGATTTTTTTTTCCAACCTAAACACCAACCTCTTTGTTCTTCAGCATTATGATGCTTTTTAAAAAAAAAAGTTTTAATAAAAACAAACTTAAATTACGGCTGAAACAACTAATTGATTAAATTGATTATGCAATTAATGAACAGCAAACTGATTATAGTTTAATCATGTATACTCACTGCTGGTCTTATTTATCAAGAAAATAAAATATTTTTATAAAAGTAAAACTTAATTCACTATCTCCCTGTCTAACCATAACCAGAAGTGTTGACAAAAGAAATGGCAACCACCTACCTACAGCTTCCAACAGAAAAATGAGCACAATAAAGATGAACTTATAACAGGGTTACTCACATGTTTGGGCTAAAAAGCTCCTCTTACAAGAGGACTAGAGTTCTGTACTTCAATATATTACTACATCAACAAGTTAACCACAAAACACCAGCAAAGTCAGCAGAAGGGAATCTTGCTCCAATTCACCAAACATCTCCGCTCTGCCATTAATTGCAGGCAAGTTCACAATAACTCAAAAACCTGCATACACAAGCTGAGTGTGAGATTCAATCGTAGCCACTGCTCACATCCATACGGATAAATGCTAGTGTAACAGATCGGCCAGGCTCCACCACCACCCAATCACAACGATCCCTCTCACCTGAGTTCTGAGCACCTGCACCTGTCACCTATCAAGCACCTCATTAACCAGCCTGCATAAAAGCACACACCTAAGACACCTTCACTGTCCGGTCTCGTATACACGTAGAGGACTCAATGACTTTGCTACTACTGCCATTTGAATACTGCCTGCATTACTTACCTCCTGTGTTCCGCCTACTGTCTCCTCATCTCCTGTTCCTCCTTGGTTACGGATCACTGAGGTGTGTGCTCCTCCTGCCTACATTCCAGTGCCTGTAAAGCCAAAGACTCGGATTCCCCCACTCATCATATCCTTCAAGCTATTCATTCACCATCACATCCTCTGGACCCTACCCCAGTACTCTGTGACCAAATAAACCTGTTTTATATATACTAACCTGTTGTGTCAAGACCTCTTCCGTTACAGCTAGTTTGTGCATGGAAATTAATTTGCGCCCAATTTTCTGTTGTACGCTCGTTTTATAAATGAGAGCCACTGTGTGAAAACATCTACTAATTGTGTCAATTTACAGCAGTGAATAATGTTTCTATGGACGAAACGCATCTGAAAAATAAGAGGTCACATGGTGATCTGCTGCTGGAAAAGCACACAAACCAAACTAACTTCAAGATTTCAGACTTTGTTGACATAAAGATGAACTACTTACCGCGATTTCAAACTGCGGTGATCTGATTTCTCCATTGCATGGATCTTCATGTGTTTCTTCAGGTAATTTTTAATAGCGTAACTCTTCCCGCACTGATCACACGTATGCGGTTTCTCTCCAGTGTGGATCATCTCATGTGTTTTCAGAGTTCCTGGCTGACTGAATCTTTTGTCACAGTGTGAACACTTATAAGGTTTCTCTCCAGTGTGAATCCTCTCGTGTGTTTTCAGATTTGTTGACTGACTGAATCTCTTGTCACAGTGTGAACACTTATAAGGTTTCTCTCTGCTGTGAATCCTCTCATGTTTTTTCAGGTCTCCTGACTGACGGAATCTCTTGTCACAGTGTGAACACTTATAAGGTTTTTCTCCAGTGTGAATAATCTGGTGCTGTTTTAAACTGTTCGCAAATGTAAAAGTCTTCCCGCACTCAAAGCACATGTACTCTCTCACACCAGTATGAATTTTCTCATGTGTATGTAAAGTTTGCAGCAGTGAAAAACTCTTTCCACATTCAGAACATACATGTGGCTTCTCCTTCGTATGAACTGTCAGGTGTGCCTTCAGGATTGATGCCCTAGGAAATGTTTTGCCGCACTGATCACATGTGAACGGCTTCTCTCCCGTGTGGATTCTCATGTGACTCTTTAGATTTTGTTTGCCTGAGAATCTCTTTTCACAGTGATCACATGTGAATGGCTTTTCTCCAGTATGGATTTTCATGTGTGATTTAAGGTGTGCTGATCGGATGAAACCTTTCCCACATTGATGGCACACATGCGGTCTCTCTCCGGTATGAATTCTCATGTGAATCTCATGATTTTGTTTGTGTCTGAAACTCTTCCCACACTGATTACAAGTGAACGGCTTCTCTCCGGTGTGGATCCTCACGTGTGCATCAAGATTATGTTTGCACGTGAAATAGTTTCCACATTGTTTGCATACATATGGCTTCTCTCCGGTGTGGATCCTCATGTGTCCCATTAGACCTGGTTTTTGTGTGAAGCTCTCCCCGCACTGATCACATGTGAATGGTTTTTCTCCAGTATGAATTCTTAAGTGAACATGAAGATTTTGTTTGCTTGAGAATCGCTTTTCACAATGATCACACATGAACGGCTTTATTCCGGTATGAACTCTTACGTGAATCTCAAGACTTTGTTTGTTAGACAAACTCTTTCCGCACTGATCACATCTGAACAGCTTCCCTCCGGTGTGGATTCTCATGTGAACCTGAAGATTTGCTTTGTCTGAGAAACTCTTTCCACATTGATCACATGTGAATGGTTTCTCTCCAGTGTGGATCTTCATGTGTCCTTTAAAGTGTATGTTTTGTGTGAAACTCTTCCCACATTGATCACAAGTGAACGGTTTCTCACCAGTGTGGATCCTCATGTGAATCTCTTGATTATATTTCCTTGACAAACTCTTTCCACACTGAGAGCAGGTGAAAGATTTCTTGGCTCTTCTTTTCTTTAAAAATGTATTTTTAGTCTTTGAGAGACTCAAATGTTTTTCTCCAGGTTTGTCGTCATGTTTCTCTTCCACTTCACTCAGTTCTTCACTCCTCTTTCTCTTCCATCAGCTCTGAAACAAACAAAAAAAAGAGTTAATTTCATTTTCAGTACATCAAAAATATTCAAAAACAGGAACATGAAAGGAGATAAACGTGAGACCTGCTGTAACAAAACAGACAACTGCTAAAAAATATTACAATCATTTTTATACCTTTTTATAAATTATACATCCCTGAAGCTTACCATGTGCAGTGATATTCAATTATTATTTTTAAAACATTATATACACAAATCCCATATTTCTGTAGTGGAAACTATTAAATGTATTTGAAAGACACGATTATATAACATGATATTAACATTAAAATATATATTGCTGTCATATTTTGTCACCAACTTTTAGATCAATATTTAATTTATTTTACTAAAAGCATTTTAATTATTAAGGGTCAGTCACACTAGACTTTTCTGACTTCCATTTATACACACGTGAACATGGGACACCAGAAACACAAACTCAAGCAGATTTTGAAAAGAACAAATATTTGCAGTAAAGTGGAGCAGATTGTATATTTTTACATTTTGGAATGATTATTATTTCTTAGGGCTGGGTAAAAAAATATACAGATTTCTTGAATTTAATCTATTCTAATTTTTACGAAACAATATTGATTCTTAAATCCCAAGAATTGATTAGTCTAGCCTGTTTTCAGTTAATGAACGGAACATTGTAGCGTGCCTCCCATCCAATAAATCGCAATAAGCTTTGTTACTTTAGATATGAAACAAAGTCTCAGATTTCAATTGTGTATTTTATTACAGTATTCAAACAATAAATGCCATTTTGTTGCTGTTTAATGTAGAGTGACAGATCGCAGTAACGCCTCAGTTCAAGAGAAGCAGCAGCATGAACTGATCATTACCTCCGCTTTAATGCCAGTTTCAGCATGAAATAAACATGAATAAACATCTGAAGGTATGTTAAAAGAAAGAGTACAACTTACTGAAATCCATATCCCGTCTCATGTAATCGCTCAATCAGTGTTTCAACCGCACAAAGACATTAATATAACGGCTTCTAAACAATGTCAAGTAACCACTGTTGCCAACTCTCGCGAGACAAATAAGGAACCGCAGCTTCAAAAACAAGCCCAATATTAGTTTATTTATTATCAATAATCACTACCAATAAATGAGCCTGCAGCATATTAAATAGAAACGGCTCTTTTATTTGAAAAACAAAAACATGTTATTTTACAAAAATCTGCAAACTGCAACAAAGCAGCAGGCACACACTATCCACTCATCTCCAGTCCCCTGTGAGCAGAAAAGGATTGGAGAGATTGAAAAAGAGAAAATGACAAGAGCTTTAAGGAGGAGCTGTAACTTAGCTACATTTGTACATGTGGGCTTATGAAAATACGGGCAAATGAATATATAACATCCCGTCCTTTGGATGAGACGTTAAACCGAAGTCCTGACTCTCTGTAGTCATTAAAAGTTCAATGGCACTTCTCGTAAAGAGTAGGGGTGTAACCCCGATGTCCTGGCCAAATTCACTCCACTGGCCCTTGTCAATCATGGCCTCCCAGTAATCCCAATCCACTGAATTGGCTCACTCCCTCTCCTCTCCACCTGTAGCCGGTGTATGTGGAGCACACTGGCGCCGTTGTACTGTGGCTGCCATTGCATCAGGTGGATGCTGCACACTGGTGGTGGTTGAGAAGAGAACCCCTCATGATTGTAAAGTGTTTTGGGTGTACAACAATACACAATAAAGCGCTATATAAATGCCTCATTCATTCATTCATATTCGAACCAAATGTATATACTGTTAAAGTGGTCATATGATGCGATTTCAAGTTTTCCTTTCTCTTTGGAGTGTTACAAGCTCTTGGTGCATAAAGAAGATCTGTAAAGTTGCAAAGACTAAAGTCTCAAATCCAAAGAGATATTCTTTATAAAAGTTAAGGGTCAGCCACACCTACTTAAAACTGCTCATTCTAACACGCCCCCACATATCTACGTCACTATGTGGAAATATTAGCATAATGCCACCCAAATGTGCATGCAGAGAAAGAAGGCGTGGTTTCAGGAACAGCAGTCGTGTTGATGCAGCCATGTCAGGGAGACTCTGTGTTTCAGTGCGAAAGCAAAAGCATTTTATTTGGCCTTCCGGAAGTAGATGCAATTAGGAATCATTGGTTAAGATTTATTTACAACAGAACAGCACAACCCAGATGTTCGAATTTACATGTTGAGCGGGAAGATGAACGTAATACTGTATAAAATGATTGAGCTTAGGATGTTCGAGGTTCAGTCTGACTCCGTTGAACCCAAGGTACTACATGTACTTTGTCACTACTATTCTGTAATAAAAGTTATTCTTCATCAAGATCTACGACATCTTCACTTTTTCTTACACTGTGCTTGTCAAAAGAGGGGGCTTTGTTGAAAACTACGTGTTTGAGAGAGGTGGGGCATAGAGGACCTACAATAATGTACAGTATTTGGAACAATAATGTGTTTTTTTGAACATTAAAGCATGTCAAAATATTCTGTTACACCAAATACACAAAATAATGATCTTTAAAATAGCATAATATGACCCCTTTAATATTAGTATAGGCCTATCTGTTTTTATTATAGCCTGTGATAATTAATGCATTACAAAAACATTGTAAAAATTAAGAATTTACCTTAGAAAAGAAAGTCACTCCTCTATTAAGTCTACTATCTTTGTCACTTGGATTACAGCGTCAAGAGCGGGAGGAGGGGGCAAAATGTTTGATGAATCACGCTACAGCACTGATATTATTGATTGCGCAGACAGAGTGTCAATCAATGCATTGGAGAATACGGTGAACATTAATGTCAAGAAACGAAGTTGCTGATCAGATTTTCCTAACAAGAAACCAAATCAAATCTGAAGATGAAAACTTTAAAACTCTGCATTTTTTAAAATGTTTTTAAGACCACGTCATGTGATTTTATTTTGGCATGGCATGATCTAAAACAGATCCAGGTTATGTAGGTGCACTAAAAGCATAAGTATGGACTCATTTGAAGATTGTCATGAAACAAACAGTTATAAGAAATTAAATATGAAAATATGAAATATCTGAATATATGAAAATAAAATTGAAGTTTTCCTTGTTTCAGTCTAGAAATGCACTGCAGCTAAAGCCATGTTCTATTTCAAATCTGCATAACTCTAAAACTCTGCATTTTATTAAATGTTTAATACGATTTTATTTTGAAAAGACTTTAAAATGCTGACTGATGTTTATTGTTTTCTTCTAAGCATCTATTCAATGTATTGTCTCTTTTGTTTTGTGGTGCAAACTGTCTCCCCTGCACACATTCACCTCTCTGGCCTAGTTATGGCTCTAATTATCAATAATCCAGTGGTTTGAGTCTTATCTCTAAAATAGGTCCTTCAAGGTATCTTGGAGAGGTGATGTGTCCAAGTCACAACATCTAGCTACTGGGGTGCCTCAGGGCTCAGTACTTGGACCACTTCTCTGTCTACATGGCATCACTAGGTTCTGTCACTCAGAAACATGGATTTTCATATCACTACTATGCTGATGACACTCAACTCTACCTCTCATTCCATCCTGATGATCCGACAATAGCTGCTCGCACCTCAGATTGTCTAACAGATATTTCTTGCTGGATGAAGGACCATCACCTTCAACTCAACCTTGCCAAGACAGAACTGCTTGTGGTTTCATCACAATTTCACCATCCAGTTAGGTACATCAACCATAACTCCTTCAAAACCAGCCAGAAACCTTGGAGTTATGATTGATGATCAGCTGAATTTCTCAGACAACATTGCTAAAACTGTCCGTTCCTGCAGATTTGCTTTATTCAGCATCAAGAAGATCAGGCCCTTTCTTTCAGAACATGCTTCACAACTCCTTGTTCAAGCTCTTGTTCTGTCCTGGCTGGACTATTGCAATGCTCTCTTGACAAGTCTTCCAGCCAGTTCTATCAAACCTTTACAATTAATCCAGAACGCGGCGGCAAGATTAATTTTTAACGAGCCAAAAAGAACGCACGTCACACCTCTGTTTATCAGTTTGCACTGGCTACCAATAGCTGCTCGCATAAAAATCAAGGCATTAATGTTTGCCTACAAAACCACCACTGGCTCTGCACTTCTTTACCTAAATTCATTATTGTTCTTATGTGCCCTCTAGAAGCTTGCGTTCTGCAAGTGAACATCACTTTATTGTGCATCCCAAAGAGGCACAAAATCACTTTCACTGACTTTTAAATTAAATGTTCCCTCCTGGTGGAATGACCTGCCCAACTCAATCCGAACTCATCTTCAAGAATCAGCTAAAAACACATCTCTTCCATCTTTATTTGACCCTCTAACTCTAGCACTCTCTATTCTAATCCTATTCTTTATATAAAAAAACCTTGCCCCTTTTAGACTTGCACTTTATTTACTAACTGCTTGTTTTCTTTAAAAAAAATTATTATACAATTAACAAAAGCAAAAAAGGCCTTTAACACTAGCTTGCTCTATTCTTTTTCAATTCTATTGGTTTTATTTTTATTTATTATATGATTAAAAAAAATTAGTACTGCATTAAGTTGAGACTTGTAATAGCACTTGCAATATCCATTGTCCTCATTTGTAAGTCGCTTTGTATAAAAGCATTTGATAAATGACTAAATGTAAATGTAATTATATTAGTCTTTTGTCTTTATTGTAATTACTGATGACTTTATATTCAGTTTTATTCCCTAATTTCTTTGATCAAACTTCTCACTTCACCTTCTTTGAAATTGTATTAAATGCCCTTCTTGAAAAAAATAAACATTCAAATGAGCTTTACTATTCAAAAAACACATTCGCTCCTGGTAGCAGGTGAATAAGAACTAGCTAGCATGAGTTTGCAGCAAAAACATGGTTTAATGTAAGTCAAGTGTTTGAAATAACCTTATGTGATCTAATGTGGCTTCGGATAAAAACATTAGACAGAAAATACATTATTTTTAAGGATTCTGTAAAGTGATAAAGGCTATGTTGATTAGCATTGCATTATAAAAATATACATTATTGTTATAAAAATACCAGACATGCCTTGAAGAACACAGATAAACCACATATCGTCGCAATCATGTGTTTACTGCCTTCATGTTTCTCTGTCTGTATTTTATTCAGCTGCAGCGATTGTTGGATGCCATGAAAGGGATTTCTGGAACGTGATATGATTTATGGCTCTATGAGTCATGAATAGGGCCTTTCGCACCGCAGGAACCTTTTCATAGTACCAGAACTCATTTTGGAACTACCCACTTTTAGTACTAGGTAACCCTGTAAATAGTACTAGGAAATAGTTCGCGCAAAATCATCCCAGTACTTTAGTACCGTACATTTAGTTCTGGAACTCAAGCGGTGCGAAAGGGCCTAATGTTCTTCAGCATCATGAATGAATCAAGAATAAACACCAACCTTTTTGCTCTTCAGTATCTTCAGTGTGTTTGATTCTGCAGGGTTCTGGATCTCTCATCTTCTCTCTGTCCTCTTTAATAAACTCAGTCTTTGCAGATTTCAGATCTTCCTGATGATTTGATGCTCGTCTTCACTTGTAAACTGATGGGAATATTCCAGCATTTATTGGTGAACTGCTGTGGGAGGAGCTGATCTGCCTAAATCAAAAATAGATCAGCTACTGAGTTTGTTTTTATAATAAATGACACTTTTAAGCATTTATGTCCGTCTGTCTAATCATCGTAAAGTAACAGATGCTAATTCATAAATAATTTTTTATTGCTAATCGTCGCTTTTACTTTCACTTTGAAATAGCGGCAATTCGGCGTAAAGCAATTGTTCATTTTTAGTTTGTTTGAATTTTCCCTCTTTTCCTTGCTTTCCTTCGCTTTTAAATAGCTTAAAAGCGCCGTGCGCATTTTACTTTCACTTTCGAATTAGCGGCAGTTAGGCATCAATTGCTTAAAGGCAACAACAAAATACAACGTCAAACTCACTTTAGCCTATAAAACAAAGAACTTTTATTAACAAAACAAATAAAAATACACCATACTATAGGGCAGGCTATGCCTAATATAAAATAACAAATAACTTACATAAAGTTTAAATAGGTATACAAAACTGGAAATAGGCTAAGTAAACATGTATATATAACCAAATAAATAAGAAACGTTTATTAGCAAAACGAGTAAGAAAGCTTGGCGGCACGGCATACACCTTGATGTCAAATAAAATAAATAAATGACACAAAGTTTAAATAAAGTAAAAATCAGCAAACACTGTAGAACCAATTAAATAAGAAACAAATGTTTAAAAAAAACTTCCAAAATCACCTTAGATAAAAGGCAAAAGTCAACAGGCTTTTCAAAATCCAAAATATTGCCAAACAGGCGCTTTTGCATTTCGTTTCGAAACTAAATCATCCGCGATCGTCTTTTCTGTCTCACCTCACTCTTCTTGTCAGTCAGCTCGACTCACTCTCCTCACTGGAGAAATTAAATCTGATCTGTGATGCGACTGTCATTCGGCATTGAGCAGCCGCGTTCAGTTTTTAATTGTTGTGTCTGTTCTTTTACTAAACTAAATAATTTTTATTAATATAAAAAATCTAAACGACGGTGGGGGTCGGTGACGCGGTGGGCAAGTGACATAACCGGTGTTGCGGTTTAACACCGGTATCACCGTCAGCACCGTCTACCGCGGCAAGCCTAATTTGTAACCAACAAGTACCCTCAGTCTGTTGATATCAATGAAACAAGCGTTAAGTGTCAATTTACAGGAAGTCTGAAGACATCAGCATAATAAATGAGGAGAAAACAGGAACTATTGACATGAAATAAAGAGTCTTTTCAGCAGCTCTGTTAATATTGATGAGCCTCAGACGATCAACACTCATTCAACAAGACATTCAGAATCATCAGCAGATCATCTCTCTTTATTCTCACCCAGATAACAAGAACGTTTGGGCTAAATGTGGCTGATAGCTGTCACATCTGGCCTAGGTATGGCATGGCTGAGCACATATGGGCCAAACTTTAACCGTATATGTTTTGCCATGGATTTAGAATTGGAGGGAATTTTCTTTTGGATGACAATTTCTTTGAGGTATATGGCCCAGATGATAGCACACAACTGAGAGCCATATGTGGCTTGGCACACCATGGAATATGTTAACATTTGGCTTTTATTTGGAAAAACACATATAAACTGCTGGCAGGTCAGTGGCAGTCCACAGCTCAGCCCATTCAACAATGCTATTGGTTGCTTTGTGTCTTCCCTTATTCCTATTGGTGGATTACTGAGATTTTGAAAATATATCCGTTATTTCCCGCTCTGCTTCCTCTTTCAATCGCTGTTAAAAAGAAGAAGATGATGAAAAGCTCCCTATTTACAACAACAGCCTTTTTGCCCAGACACATTCTTATTCAGGTAAGTGCAGTTTTGGTGTTTTAAATGTTTTCTAGGGGTGTAATGGTACACTTATTCGTACCGAACAAATACAGTGTCATTTTAACCACTGCACGTGCAGAACTTAATCCGTTTCAATTCATAGCCGTGAATAAACCTGCACTATACTTTATTACAATACATTACATTCTGTAATCGTAAGGATTTTGTTTTGATCTTTTCGATAAGAAACAAAGTCTCGTCCTTAAAATTATGTATATTTTATCAGGAAATTAAATCCATAAATGCCGTTTTGACGCTATTTGATGTGGCGACAGACCGCTGCAAGCGACCCAGTCAGCAAAATTCCTTTGGCGTGGATCTGGATCGTATCAACAGCTAAAGTGTGGCCCAGATTTGTTTGTGTTTGCTGGCCCAAAACTAGTCCACATCTTTTTTAGCCAGAACTGAACCTAAACAGTGCCATAACCCAACCCAGAGTGAGCCAAATACCATCACCCCTTCCCTTTAATTCTCTTTTCTACTAGATACAACTGGTTATAACGCGAAATAAACACGCTCATGTCATGTAATCTCAATCAGTTTTGCAACCGTGGAAAAATGCCAGTAAAACAGCATTACCTTTACTGCAGGCAAGTCATTCAGTGTCCACAGCTTGTTGCTAGAAAAGTGCAATGTGCAGTTTATATGTTTACATACATTTTTGTTTAGTGTTGGTTATTGTCTCTAAAAATAAATAGAAATTGAATTTAACAGATTGGGCTCTGTTGTTAATTGCAGCCTTTAATATTTTAGTAATGTGCCAGACTGTGAGTGAGAAAGACTGGCGAGACTTACTAAAAGTATCAACTTCTGTTATGTTCTGTATTGTAATTCTGTTATTAACATTATACAATAAACATTTTTTAAAAATGAGTGTGAATCCATTTTTGTGTTTAAGATTTACTGTGTAATGGGTATTTTAAATAAAAAAAATAGGTGTGGTGTAAATATGGTTAAATAATGGCATTTGGTTTATCAGCCACACGTGGGCCACATAAGGGCCGTCAGCCCTTTACAGAACTCAGCCATATAAGAATATCATATAAAGTCCATATATCAGCCACATCTGTTTTTATTATTTGGCTCACTCTGGGTTGGGTTATGGCACTGTTTAGTTCTGGCTAAAAAGATGTGGACCAGTTTTGTGCCGGCGAACACAAACTAATCTGGGCCACACTTTAGCTGTTGATATGATCCAGATCCACGCCAAAGGAAATTTGCTGACTGGGCAGTGTTTGCTGTTAGAAACTGACTATAAGAGTCAGGATATATGATAAAAGCCTATAAGTGTTTTACTAAAATAACTTATTTCTCATTCTCACAACATGACATATCATATGAGATAAAACATCAAAATATATATATATATATATATACACAAAAACTAACACTAAAGGCATCAACCACTACAGATAAATAACTACAGCAGCACAATAGTACAATGCATAGTATAGTAATGCATAGTAATACAATGTTACGGTATATTTTAATAATGTAAATGTAATCTGGCAAAGATGTCAGAAGAGTAGAAATCAAATCACAGCAGCAACACTTGAGATCGATTCCCATCAATTCTCCTCACAGATCTCAAACTATTCATTCAGTAACAGTCCTCACTCCAAACATCGAAACAATCACACAAACAAACACACAAAAGCACTCAAAATCGCTCAGGTCTGAATTAATTCCTCATATTTTCCTCACATGCTGCTGCACTGAAAGAAGACGCCAGAAAAGACGCACAAGTAGCGCTGAACCGGATGAAAACAGCACAGACATGAGTCTGTAAGATGTGGCTTAAACAGACTGTATAAAGTGTGTTTGATAGTTGTGTAAATATGAGAAATACCGGGAGCTGCTGAACTCTCCTCAGAAGACTCTTCTTCTTCTTCTTCTTTTCTATTGGCAGCTTGTATTCTCACATAGAGCATTAGCTCCATCTACTGTAGGTTATGGATCAGACAGACAAACTCAGAGATATTTTGGCAGAGAGCATGATATTTCATAACAGTCTGATAATTATTAAGGGAGCGAGTCATCGTCGAGTCTTCTGAGGAGAGAAGAGCAGTTCACGGTTGTGCCTGTTTAAAGAGTATTTAAGTTCATTTTGCTTTGTAACTGCCATCTGGACATTTTAAGAAACTGCAGATATAAAGCAGGAAGTGAGCAGTAACATGCTTTAGACATATGAAATAAATAAATAAATAAAGAAGTAGGAATTGTGAGACGGGTTTGTGGCAAAAGAAGCCCTTACGAAAATTAACCATGTTTTTTTTT